CTTAGTGAAGTTTTGTTTGGATTGAATCTGATTGATGACCTTTGACCTTCCTGTACCTGGAAATTTATGTCTTTCCCCAGATGTGGAACATTTTCTACTATTATTTCTTTAAATAAGCTTTCTACTTCTTTGTCTTCCTCTTCTCATTTATGAATTCCTATGACTCAAATATTTGCCCTTTTGATGTGTCTCTCAAATCTTGTAATCTTTCTTATTCCTTTTCATTCTTTTTTCTTCTCTGACTGTATATTTTCAAATAACCTGTCTTTGAGTTCATTGATTCTTTCTTTTGCATGATTAGTTTTTCTGTTGATGCTCTCTGTTGCATTTTTCTTATCATTCATGCTATTTTTCAGCTCCAGAATATGTTTTATTTTTTAAAAATAATTTCAATACCTGTTACATTTTTCATTTGGCTCATTTATTGTCTTCCTGATTTCAGTGAACCGTTTCTGTGTGTTTTCTTGAGGTTTGCTGAGATTCCTTAAAACAATTCTCTTTTTTAAATTTTTTAAATCAGGATATTATGGGGGCACAAACATTTTGGTTACATGTAATGCATTTGCCTTGCCCAAGCCAGGGCTACAAGTGTGTCATTCCCCCATACCGTGCAATTCTTTTGAATTCTTCATGAGATGGTTTGTTATTTCCATTGCTTCAGGGTGAACTGCCAAGAGATTATTGTGTTCTTTTGGTGGTGTTATATCTCTTTGGTTTTTCATGTTTCTTATTGACTTACATTTATGTCTGTAAATTTGAGGAAGCAGGGATTTATTCCAGTCTTTGCAGACTGGCTTTGTCTGGGAAAGACTTTTGCCCCATCCAAAGATTTTGGGAAGGCCATTTGGCATGATCCAAGGGCAGGCTTCCTACAGGAGTCCTCAGGCAGGCTAGCCTGGTGACTAAGATAACTGATGGGCAGGCTTGTGCTGGGCCTTAAACCAGAGTCTGCAGGGCTCTGCAATACTGGTGTAAGCTCTTTTGTCACTGTAGTGGGCCTGAAGTCTAGTGCTGCCAGGACCAGTCTTCTACTGGGATAGGCCTGGGCCTAGTGCCACTGGATCTGTTCTGGCACCGGGTCCAGTAAGGCACCTGGGGCCACTGAGACCATACTGGTGCTGGGGCAGGCTGGAGACTGAATTTTCAGGGTTGTCCTGGAGCTTGGTTCTGTAGGATTCAGCCTGGAGCCGGGGTGCGCTTGGGGGTTTAAAGTGCAAGTACTGACCTGGAGTCTGGTGTCATGGGGGCCTGGTGTTTGGGTCCAGGATACAGTCTAGTGCTCACTTCCTTCTCCTTTCCCCAGGTGTATGATATCTCTCTCAAAACTGCTGCCTGGGAATAGGGGAGACTTGGCAAAGATAATGTAAAACTGTTCTCCCTGTCCTCTTCAATGTATTGTTTCTTGTTTCTCTGCTACACCCAGGTGCTGTAATCTCTCACCTCAGCTCTTATGAAGGTATTTTCATTAGTTTCATGCATGGATAGTTGTTCACATTGACGTTTCTACAGGGGGACAAGTGCTTGAGAGTCCTATTCTGCCACCATGCTCTAATTTTCTAATTATATCTTTGTTTTCCTATGAGAGCAAAAACTTTCTTTTGTTTTCCCATACAAACTGCCTACTCCCACCCAAGACACACAGCCTTTGTGTGCAACCTCAGGCTGCTTTTAGCAGGTGTGAGATGTAAGGGAGAAAGAGACCTACTTTCTTTATTGGAGGGGTGTCCCTGGGTAGGGAATGGGAGAAGAGAGAGTACAAAAAAAGATTAACTGAGGAAGACTAAATAACAAAGTACAGTTGACCCTTGAACTATGTGCAGCTAGGGGTACCTATCCCCTGTATAGTCAATAATTTTCACATAACTTTTAACTACCCCAAAACTGACTACTCATAGCAACTATTGACTGGAAGCCTTACTGATAATATAAACAGTCAACTGACACATATTTTGTATATAATATGTATTATGTACTGTACTCTTATAATAAAGTAAGCTTTTTAAAAGAAAATCTTACTAAGAAAATCACAAGGAAGAAAAAATACATTCATTAAGTAGAAGTAGATCATCATGAAGGTCTTCATTCTCATGATCTTCATGTTGAGTAGGCTTAGGAGGAGGGGTAAGAGGAGGGGTTGGTCTTGCTTCTCAGGGGTGGCAGAGGTGGAAGAAAATCTGCATATAACTGGATCTGTGCAGCTCAAACCTCTGTTGTGCAGTTCAAAGCCATGTTGTTCAAAGGTCAACTGTACAACAGTGAGAAAGATTTTAGAGAAATTGACATGGAATCCAAACATTTCCATGTTGTGGGGTTCGTGAATAGAAATAAGTCACAAGTTACTTTTCAGAAGTTATAAGGAAACCATGAAAATTATTCATGATGCAAGCCCCAGTGAGGGGCTTTCAGGAGGAACTGCAAACCAAGGGATTCTGATGTGGTAGACGATGGCTCTGAGGGAGAACTCTGGCAATGACTCGAATGTTTGAGATGAGGAAAATAAAGACAGGCAGAAAGTGATATAGAAAGGACATGCAGAGGTCACATTAATAATTAAGAAACAAAGGCAGACTAGCAGCAGGTAGGACACGTAACATGGGTCTACTGAAACACAAGGTAGGGAACAGCAGGGCTGGCACTAGGTGAGGCAGGAAGGCCCCCAGGGCACAGCGTGGAAGAACAATCTCACTCTCAGCACCGAGGCTAAGTGCTTCCTCAAATTTTAAGGCACCCCAAGGTGCCACCTTTGCCTCACCCTAGTTCTGACCCTGAGAGACAGTGATAAAAAAAAATTATAGAGAAAAAGAATGTGAATAGAGAAATATACAGAGGGGAATAAATACCAAGAAATAAGAACAAATGGGGGAGGCTCAAAGAGAACTATGTAGAGAATGAGTTAAAGGAAAATGAATGAGAAATTGGTGGAGAGCAGGCCACGCAGAGAGGGAGAGAGGAGACACATCAAGACAGTGTCTGAATTGAGGGGACAGTCACCGGAAAGGAGGCACAGGCTTGTCCCTGTTACCGTTGGGAAGAGTGAAGTGCGTCCTTATCAAAATGGCCCCTGTGACCCCTTGGATTGCAATAGGCCTCCTCTCGGGCATCTCATCCTCTCCTCCGCTCAGTCTCCATCTGCTGATCCCTAAACACACATCTCCAGCTTAGACCTGTCCTCTAGGCCCATGTCTCCAAGTGCCTGAAGACCGTTATTCAAAGATCAGAAGGACGTTTCTTATGGAGGCTGTATCAGTTACCTATGGCTGTGTCATGTCACAAACCATCCCAAAACTTGATGGCTTAAACAATCATCATTTTATTTGCCATGTCTGTTAGTTCCAACTTTAACTATCTCCAACCTGTCCCTTTCTGTGCATCCCCAGCATGATCACCCCAGTCCAAATCCCCATCACTCTCACTGAAACCAGGGAACCCGTCACCCGTCTGGCCTCATCTTTCAGTCTTGCTCCCCTCAAGTCCGTTCTCTGCACTTCAGCTGGAAGGACCTTTCAAAAAGGGAACCAGTTCACATGGCTTTCCTGTTTAAACCAGTTCGTATGGCTTTCCTGTTTAAACCAGTTCATGTGGCTTTCCTGTTTAAACCAGTTCATGTGGCTTTCCTGTTTAAACCCTATGCCTTGTTGTGGCCCTTGGCGTCAGGTCAACGCTGCCTGCAGAGCATATTGAAGGTGCCTGCCGTGTACCACGCATTCTCCATCACTTGCCTCTCACCCCCTCGTGCCCCGTTCCCACTGCACCAGACTTCCGTTAGTTACTTGAACTTGCCGAGTTTTCTCTCTTACATCTTTGCCTTTACAAATGCTTTTGGAAACAGTTTGGTATAATCTTCCAAAGTAAAAAATACATATACCCTAGAACTCAACAATTAAACTCCTCAGCAGAAATAAACAGAAATGAAAACACATAGAAAAGCATGTTCATGGCAGCATCATGCATAAAAACCAAACACTTGAAACAGAACAAATGGATAAATACTTCATGGCTTATTTCTGTAATATAATACCATGCAGCAGTGAAAATAATCACATTAAATGAATATAGATGACTTTCACAAGCATACTGAATAAAATATATATAAATTTGGAGAGATTTGGCTTCTTTTGGGGAGATATATATATAAACATATATATATATAGAGAGAGAGAGAGAGAGAGATGTAGGAAGAGAAAGAGAAAGAGAAAAAAAAAGGAGAGAGAGAAAAAGAGAGAGAGAGAGAGAGAGAGAGAGAGAAAAGGCAGCATGATTCCACTTATATAAATTACATAACAGCCAAAATTCATCTAGGTATTTGAAACCAAGATGGTGGTTGATTTTGAGGAAGACTATAGGGACAGTTACTGGGATGTGTCACTAGGAGGCTTCTGAGGTGTTGGGGTAATCTTATTCCTGGACCAAAGTGATATGCTTACTTTGTGATCATTCAAAACCCACTTTTATCTCTGTATGTTATTCTGCAATTATAACGTTTATTTTATTATTGTATTTATTTATTTAGAGACAGGGTCTTTCTCTACACATAGGCTGAAGTGCAGTAGCACAATCATGGCTCACCGCAGCCCTAAATTCCTGGGCTCAAGTGATTCTCGCACTTCAGCCTCCTGAGTAGTTGGGACTATAGGTGTGAGCCACCACACCTGGCTAATTCTTATTTTTTTGTAGAGATGGGGTCTCACTATGTTTCCTAGACTGGTTTCAAACTCCTGGCCTCAAGCAATTTCATAATTTTTATTTTTAAAAAAGACAAAAATGTTAGCACTCAAAAGATGAGAGGAAGAGTTAAAGGGAAAAGTTATGAAACAAACAGAGTCAAGAGAGGCACGAAGGAAGCGCCAGAGTTTAGCAACAGGAAAAAAAGAAGGGTGGGGTGTTTTTGTGTGAAGCTTTCTCCCCAGCAGTGAAATTGTGGGAGAGGGAGTTATCAATGGCAGTGAAGGGCCCACTGGGGAGTCAAATGAAAATGCTTTGCTCCTTACAATTTGGTCCAGGGGTAGAGCTACGCAACCAAGGAATCCAAGTTAATTCCTGTTTTGTGCGTCTGGTGGATATAAAGAAGGAACAGCCACTTTTTAACTCAGAAGATGAGCAGCGAGCCCAAGCAAGAACTAACCATAACCAGGCATCTGACATAATAGGTAAGGCTGACTGTATGAATTTGCAGCTGGGAATCACAGGTTACCAGGTCAGGGGCTCAGGCACTTCATCAGGGCCCATCGAGGCCATCGGGGCAGTCCAGGTAGCCTGGGATGGAGGCGGGAAGGGGAGGGGGCCAGCACCTCAAGCAGTGAGCCCTCAGCTTAACAAAAGAAAGTCCTGAGGAATTGGGACAATTCCAAAAGACAGAAATGGAGGTAATAAGTATTGATGTCAGAGAGGCGTTTATAAAGGAAGAGGGGAAAGTACAGGGGAAGAGTTAAAGAAAAGGAAAAAATCAGGGAGCCAAGATATTCACAAGAGGAGTTGGAGAAAGAAACGCATCAAGACAAGGAGAGATATAAAGAGACACCACTGCCAGGAACAGGCAGAAGCAGGGGAGATGAGCAGAACCAAGAGAAAATTAAGAAATAAAATGAGAGTGAAAGAAAAGTAGAATGAGGGTCGGGGTGAGAACAGTGCCAGTGGATGGGCCAAGCTGCCCTGTGTGTGTAAATTTTATCAGCTTTTGGTTTAAGACCAGTAACAACCTACAGCTCACACTCATTGAAGGAGGAGACTAGGGCCTTAAGTTAACTTAGCTTCCCAGGTCTTCCTAGTGCTTTTTTTTTGGCGGGGGTGGGGCTGGGTCTCCCTGTATTACCCAGGCTGGAGTGCAGTGGCATGATCATGGCTCACTGTCACCTCAAACTCCTGGGCTCAGAGGATTCTCTCACCTCAGACTCCAGAGTAGCTGGGACTACAGGTGTGCAGCACCACACATGGCTAATTTTCTTATTTTTTGTAGAGACAGGGTCTCCCTGTGTTGCCCAGGCTGCTCTTGAGGGCCACTGTGCCTGGTGGCCCCTAGTGCTCTTATTATGGGATTTCCCGCTGTGTGGACTCCTTGGCCACACCCAAGGCTATTAATGGATTTTGCTCTCTTGCACAGTTATCAGCAGTGAGGACTCTGAACAATCCAATGATGGAGAGAAGCCCCCGGGAGCCCCCATCTCAGCCCTGGAAAGTGAGCCTGATCAAGAAGGTGAGGAGAGCAAGGCTTGGGCTGCGGAAATCTGAACTATGAGTTACTATTTCCTGATGCACTTTATTCTGAGCCCTTTCTGTACAATGGATCCAGTTATCCTGGAATCTCATTCTCTGCACTTACTTAACTTGACCCATTTGGGAAATGCAAGAAAATAAGAAACTACTTTAAATTTATTTTTGAGGATTAGGTTTATTAATCAATGAATTCTATTAATCAATATGTATACCCACACATTGATTATATATTAGAAATAGGCTAGCAAAGTGATGAGTTTGTTTTTAAAACAAACTAGTTACTATGCATATAAAGTGTTAGATTTATACCATGATTTCTATATAAAACATAAAAATTCCTTTATTGGAATATAATATTGTCATCTGATCACAAACTGTGAATAGTGTCAAAAGAATTCATCCAACTATCTAGTGTTAGCAGAAAGAAAAACTTGAGATAAAGTATTCTGAAACCTGAAGTATTTTTTTTTTTTTTTTGTGAGACAGAGTCTAACTCTTTTGCCTGGGCTAGAGTGCTGTGGCATCAGCCTAGCTCACAGCAACCTCAAACTCCTGGGCTCAAGCAATCCACCTGCCTCAGCCTCCCGAGTAGCTGGGACTACAGGCATGCGCCACCATGCCTGGCTAACTTTTCCTATATATTTTTAGTTGTCTAGGCAATTTCTTTCTATTTTTAGTAGAGACGGGGTCTCGCTCTTGCTCAGGCTGGTCTCGAACTCCTAAGCTCAAACAATCCACTTGCCTCGGCCTCCCAGAGAGCTAGGATTACAGGCGTGAGCCACCGCGTCCAGCCCGAAGTATTGTTTTTGACAGAGTTCTTTAGCAAGTCATGGCATATTTAGTGATTTTTCAAAAGACATTTGAAAATAGTATTTTTTTCTTTACAATAACCTCAAAGGGTAACCAGGATAGACAGTGTTGTCCTTGCTGCCTAGATAAGAAAACACAATCACATAAATGTTTCAAGGTCATCTACAAAGACTCATGGAAATTAAAGGAAAGACAAGACTAGCATCCAGGATTCTGATTTTTCCCTTTGTAAGATGAGAGATAGAAACAATTATCAAAATATTATATGATCTCTCTCCTATTTGCAGCATGAGTTGTCATATCATTTATAACTAGTTAGTGTACAACTTGGTGATTTGTTTTCCCTTTTTACTTTCTAGATCCTGAGAATATTAGAAACACAGCACTTTAGGGAAAACACACTAGGAAAAGACCTAAGAGCAAATACAAATGTTGCCTCATCTTGATGTTATGAAAGAACAATGTGTTAAATACATTCATTCTAATTGCTCACTGTATCTTTCAAAGTAAAATGTAAATTTGTTTCATTTTTTAGACAGTGCACACTCTAACTTTTATCCTAGTGTAAGAGAACTGCTCTAAAAAATAGTCCTCAAATGTGTCTATGGCTCAAACACAAAAGAAGGTGATTTCTCAGCCTTGTACCCAGTTCAAGGAGTTCCCTGGATAGATGGGAGTAGCGGAGGCTCAACACCTTCAACACAAGATCTTCAAGGTCTCCTTGCATGGGAAACAGAGGCAGAGGTGAAGGGAATGTGAAATAACAGGAGAAGGGGTGAGAAGTAACAGAGCAGTGCAGGAAAGCAAAGGTCAGCAGAGCAAATTCACTTGCCCCTTGCCAGTGAATTATCTCTGCCTGTGGGGACGGGAATGGAGCATCACTCACCTACAAGGCAGGTAACTTAGAAGGGAAGACCAGCTTGAACTGGGTGCAGGCCAGGACCTGAATGGAATTTCAAGGGTTTCCAAGGTTTTTAATGGGGGAATTTCCTCGGTCACACACTGAGATCCCTAAGGAATCCTATTCTTTTGTGCAGTGATCAATGTTTGCAACTCTTCAAAATCAAGCGAGACAGAGGAGACCCAAGAAGCCACTTGCTCACGACCCCAGACTGCACCAGGTAAGAATATTAGAATTGCAATTCCTGGACTATAGAATATCTAGAGTCCAAATCCAGAGCTCTGTTTACCTGATGAATTTTACTCTGAACATTCTCCATACACCTTGATTCTGTAACTTCTAGGAAAACATTTTCTGCATTTAACCTCACTGGCTCTATTAGGAAATGGAACGGGTCATGAAGGCATTACAAAGTGTTCTTTAATTGGATGGGTCCAATCGAATCATATGCTGAAAATGTAGCACAAATATGTTAGTAAAATGACAGTCATTTTACTACACGCTATCATATTTATTAATGCTACCGAGTTGGAATAATGTACTTAACCTCTACCACCAGCCTTTATATTTGATAGAACACTGTCAGCACAGCATTCCTCTGTGTGTTGATAATATTATTAGTCACAAACTTAGAAAGTCTTCAAAGAATAATTTGTGCTGCTATTTAATTATTGATGAGAAAAAAACGACTTCAGATTAACTATACCCAAACCCAGATTATAGTTAGATAGTTGGCTTATGTTGTGATTTTTTTTTTTTTTTTTTTTGAGACAGAGTCTCACTGTGTTGCCCGGGCTAGAGTGCTATGGCGTCATCCTAGCTCACAGCAACCTCAAACTCCTGGGCTCAAGCGATCCTCCTGCCTCAGCCTCCTAAGTGGCTGGGACTACAGGCATGCGCCACCATGCCCAGCTAATTTTTTCTATATATTTTTAGTTGTCCAATGAATTTCTTTCTATTTTTAGTGGAGACGGGGTCTCGCTCTTGCTCAGGCTGGTTTCGAACTCCTGAGCTCAAACAATCCGCCCGCCTCGGCCTCCCAGAGAGCTAGGATTACAAGCGTGAGTCACCGCGTCCGGCCTGTGGTTTTTCATAAAAGAAAGATAATGTGGTCTAAGAAGACAGAGAGCCAAGACAAAGCAGAGATGCCCACTGGGGGTGAAATTTTCTCAGCCCTGGGCTCAAGTGACAGTGAGGGTAAAATACTAACCTTCAGGCCACACGAATTCAAAAGGCAGGTCCTGGGGGCCTGAGAGCAGGGACTTTATTGCCCCATAATCAGAGCTTCCCAAGTTTTTCCTAGTTTCTTTTTTCTAGAATATTCTTCTGTCTTGGTACCCTTGTCACACACTGAGACCTCAGGGACATTTGCTCTTTTCTGCCTTAATAGGACATGACTATGACTTTTCAGAATCCAGTGAGGATGAGTCACCCCCGAAAGTCTGGAGTTCAGCACTGAGAAATGAGCGTGGTGAGAAGGGTAAGGACCACCTGGCTCTCCAGGACAGCGGGAGTCTGACTTCACAGCTCCTGCTTCCTGGTGCATTTTCCTCTGCACGTACACTGGGAGCCCATTCTCTGCATCTGCCTCATCTGGCCATTTTAAAAAATGGGAAGAAAGAAGGCATTATAAATTCAGGCTCAACAAGATGGCTGCAGTTGAGTGGCAGTGCCCTTATACTACTGACCACCAGACCAACTAACCCCTAAGTATTGGACTTATGTAGTGCTGTCTGCTTCCGCCCATCCCCTATTTTGTAGAGAAGAGAGAGTGGGTGTCTGCTGTTGCTTGATTTTGTCACAAACCTGTTCAAAACTCAAAAGACCTGGGTCATATTCTCTAATTATTGACAGAAAGAAATCCTTCTGGTTATTACTGTCAAATTCAATTCGTAACTATTAACGGATGACCCCCAACTTGACATTGGCCAAGTAATGATATTTGAAAATATCTCCTCGGATAAGATCTCTTTTTATCTTGACAACAACCTAGAAGGTAGGCAAGATAATGATTGTTTCCACCATTTCACAAATGGGGAAACTCCAGCACACAAACACTTAAGGATTTTTTGTTGTTGTTGTTTGTGCATCCTATATGGAAAGTTACAGGAAGAGGCAGGAGTAATATAGCCTGAACGCCTACCAAAATCCATAATCTTTTAATCTAAACCTTTTAAGCCAGATATATTTCAGAATTCAAAAATGCTTTTATTATTTTACAAAGACAATGTGATTTATATTCTCTATATTACAAAACACCTCAATAGAGTCTGGGGAAGGATCCCATTCTCAAATA